AAAAGTATGTATAATTTTATCAGAGATCAGCAACATCAGATGGTGACAACCATATGCTAAGTGCCTGGAGTTCAACAGCCATCCAGCTCTAACAAGTGCTATACATTTTTTTATGATTCTTACCAGAGTGTATTACATACTGAAATTAAGGTCTTAATGGAATTATGTTTTTTGGTTTTTTTGTTGTTTTTTTTAAACCTATCTGAGACAAGGAGGGGATTTCTGTAAGTAGGGAGACAATTTGGAGGAAGCAATGGATTTCAAGCTGCCTTCTCTACTGAAGAGTAAAGCATCCTTTGCTCACAGTGGTTGAAGCAACTGACAGCAGTACTGTGAAATGTAGCTTGAACAGCTTGAAGGCTCTCAGATGAAGCCACTGACAGTTGTGCACACCACAATTGCCTCAAGCCTGGCTTACTGCAGCATGTTCCATGTGGGATGAAAGCCAGTGCTCGATCCTGTCCCGCACACAGGGCAGGGTGATGCAGCTGCCCAACATCTGCCTGCTGTGCCCTGCGGTGGCTCACACTTCACCTCACAGGACATGAGAAGGAGCTGACAACTGCAGAGTCTGCTAAGGGGTGGACAGCAGGCTGACTCTGGGGCCACGTCCTTGTGTATTCATGCCATGTATAATTGATAGGGACTGAAATGCTTTAGGTTTTTCCTTGAACTCTCCCTAGCTGAAAAGACTCATCTGGCAAGACAGAGAGGTCAAGTAGGAAGAGTTCAAGGAAAAAAAATCACCCATGCACTGTTTGATCCAGGTCCAGGGTAGCCCAAAGCCTTTCCATTTTAACGATGTTTTGAAACACAGATAAACCTTTATGGCCTCTGTGGATGGGATGGAGAGAAGAACAAGAGACAGAATCAAAGAGGAAGAGGATGCCCACACCAACTGTTTTCTAACTAATTGCAGAGAGAGAAGTACAAAACAAAGCTTTTGAAATAATATTTTCCTTAAAAATGCACTAAAACTTACACAGGACCGTTTGTCAGCAACAGTCAGCTAACCTTGGCTGTGTCAGGCTGTGTCACCTGGCTGAGCTTTGATAGACCATGTAAAGTGAGCTTAAGCATCACCCTTTTGTGTAGCTGGGTCTCTAGTGTCCTTGCCTCTTCCCTGCTCTCCATTTCTATCACTCAAACTTAGTACTTCTGTCCCTCCATCAAATCTCGCTGGCTGGCAGGTTTGAAAGGTATTCAGAGAGGACTGACAGGCAGACCACAGAAAACATACCTGCTTATAACTCATTTCCTTTGGAAATCAGTCTGAAAACGAATAAACTAAAGACCAGAGGGATGATTCATTTTATTTATTTGCTTAAGAAAGTCAAGGTTTGAACTGTGCAGGAGCATATAAACCAGCTCTCTAATAAGATGTCTTAACATAAACTGTGGCAAAGCACTTCAGGTAAAGATCTCCAATCATTCCCAAGCCCTTCATAGACCACACATCTGTGCAGTGCTTGGCTGGCAGTGGAGGACCAAGGTAGGAGTGTGTGTCTGATTTGGAGCATATGGAGGGTAACTTTCACCCCAACTAGGGAGCTTGTTTTCAGGCACCACAAACACCCAAAGAGACCAAAGTCACAGATGTTGCTGCTTGTGACTGTTTTCCCACCCCAGTTTCTTGGTGGCACTGCTCAGCTCCCTTCAGTCATCTTTGCTTCTGCACCTGTGAAATGGGTGTAATTGAGCCTATTTGTTTCCATTCCTTGTCCCCTCCTTGACCTTCTTTGACCTTCCTTGACTTTCTTTGACCCTCCTTGACTTTCCTTTCCCCTCCTTTTCCTTCATTGCCCTTCCTTGCTTTGCCTTGCCCTTGCTTTCCTCTCCTTTGCCTTCTTTCTCCCACTTGCCCTTTCTTTCCCTTCCATTTCCTTAGACATTAAAAGGAAATTCTTCACTATGAGGGTGGTGAGACACTGGCACAGGTAGCCCAGAGAAGCTGTGGAAGTCCCATCCCTGGAAGTGTTCAAGACCAGGTTGGATGGGGCTCTGAGCAGCCTGGCCTAGTGGGAGGTGTCCCTGCCCATGCAGGGAGGTTGGAACTAGATGATTTTTAAGGTCCCTTCCAACTCAAACCATTCTGTGATTCTGTGATTGTACTGGGTCAGGTCAGTAATACAAATCTCTGCCTTGATGTTGCCTTTTCAGTTAAGCTAGGGAAGATGAGGATAAAGTGTGAGAATTATGTGGTGGTTTAAGAAGCCGAAATGAGTTCAGCTGAGGAGCCTATTGGTCTGTAAGCAGAGATCACTAGTACAATACCTCAGTAATTATTTTCAGAGTTCAGGTTGTTTAGCGGTTTTGTTAGAAGTCCCTGATGCAAAAGCCCGATTGACAGTGTGAAGTTGGAAGGTACTGATAAAAGGGATGGGGATGGCATAGAAATGTCATATAAAAAGAGTAAGACCTGGTGGACAGCAGTAGATTTATTTGGGGTGGAAGTTGATAATAGAAAATAAAAGACCATGCTCTTTGGGACTAATAGGAATTTCTGGTTGAATCTGTGAGCTCATGAGCTGGAAACAACCAAAGAGAAAAAGTATGTGAATATGCTAGCTGATCACAGGATGACTGTGTCATTTATGTGACATGGCCATGGACAGGGAAATGAAAATTTCAGATAAGTTTATTCATAAATCCAAACCAGTTAGCAGTGGTTCTCAAGCATGAAAATGTAATATTTGCTTTACAGTTTTTATCCTATCTAATACAGCAGTGAATGTTCTGATTAGTTGTGTGTCTAAGCCTTCTTTTCTAACCTTATTAGGTTCTTTAACTCCATGATACCTTCTGGCACTGTACTCCAAGTTAATCAGCCCTGGGTTTTAAAAATTATTTTCTATTAATCTATCAATTTAATTTCCTCAGCACCCCATGAGCAAAGCTCCTGAGCTGCCTCAATTTGAGTTCCATCACAGTGGTTACAGAAGGAAAAAAAGGGAAATGAATACATTTTCATTGTACTTCCAATATAGGTGAGGATCTGATGCTGCTCTGGTTTCCCTGCAACTTGAACACACTACTGTGTCTTAAGTAATTAATCACTGCAAAGCACTCAAAAGGACATTAATCTAGGATTTGAATTATGCTAGTATTAAGGAGTTGAGGTGTAACTTTGCACCACACTGTTTGATGAGAAAATCATTGCTACAGACATGGGGCAGAGATGCTGATTTGATTCTTTCTGAAGCACTAGACAATAAAAAAGGTGCCTTTGCAGAGCAATGGCCAGGACTGACTTATGATAGTTTTCCAGTGTATCATGAAAGACTCCTCCTTTCATGGTTCTGCTTCTGCAAGGTCAACTGGGTGGGGTGATAACATCCCCAGGCACCTTGTGTTCAGGAGAAGCTACGGCCATTCCATTGGGTCCATTTATTCTCTGAAAGAGTGGACGAAACATAAATATTTCTGCCCTCTTCCTCTCTGGGAGCTGGAGTGGAGCAGAGGAATGCAAATTCTCATAGCTTCATCCCTGCATTTATATATGTTCTTTATATCACAAATGTTCTTTATATCATAAATAACATACATGTTCTTTATATAATAAAGATGCTTTTCATATCAGGGTGAGTTTGTGGATCAGATGGTGACTGCAGGGATAGCACAGCACCCTGGAAGTAGGCAGTTAGTCACATCAGCCCAAGAATAGCTGAAGGGAGGTAGATACCCCTCACTTGAGTTTTCTCAAGTAGGAAATGAGCTGTTTAGATGTCCCTGGTGTTGCCAGGGCACAGTAACACCAGAAATGTGCAAACTGACAGTTGTGATCAGGGCATCACAGGAGTTCTGGAATCAAAATTTGAGACACAGTAGTTCGGTGGCTCTTTGCTGGCTCACCCAGCTGCTCCTTTCCAGCAGCTCCCAGGCAAGTAGATGGACGGCTAGACCAGCAGAGTTTTCCTGCCTGCCACTCTGATATGAAAGGATTTGCTGTTGCCATCGACGCAGAACAATCTACTTGACAGCCCCCTAAACTGGAAGCAAGTAAATGCAATGGCATTGCTCCTGCTG